GAACTTTTTTCTATTCTTTTATGAATAATTAAGGCTAAACTGTGTTTAAAAGTTCTTCTCTGGTAGTGAACAATGTACTTGGTGTTTTCTCTTACAGCATGCTGAAAGACCTCAGTTACAGCGGAAAGATGATCCATGCATTCCTCGGCTAATAATAGGGAATTTAAGATTCAACGACGCGACGGCAATGGGAACGTCGCTTAAAAAGTGAATTTCCGTTCTTTCAGTCTTTATCGCAATTATTCCTACCCACTTACTTTGTCAAACGTAGGCGAACCCTCCTGGAGTTGAATTCTTTGGGACCATATCCAAGTACAGAAAGATAAATAAAATTTCGTCTTTGCTTGTTTACGTCCTCCATAAAACGCGAAATTATGCATTTTCACGTCGTAGTCGTGCAAAAACGGGCAAAGAAATGTACAAAAAAGCGTGATGCACGTGCAAAGTTGTTGTTTTGGTTGTAAAACCTATTGGTTTTTTGACGTCCTCGTTGCCGTCCGCGTCGTTGGATATAAAGTCCCTAATTGCTTAGCGTCAACACCGCATCATCCGAAGCTGTAATTCGATTCAGCGAACATGTGAGGAAAGATGCAGGACCAGCCTTGACTGTGTACTCACGCGGGCATGTTTCTAGTATGGTTACCGTGTCAACGTAAGGAACTCATCAAGATTTTCTCTCGTGTATTTACCGTTTGAATGCTTAAAGTAGGCGCCAGTCGTTTGTCTCTAGTTGAAATTTATGTTCATGGATGTTATCACGTGTGAATCAGGCTGGCGTGGGCAAAGTAAAGGAACGAACCACGCTCACGTTACAGACAAGTTCACAAAGTGGTGCCGGGCAGATGTGTGATGGCTGTTCCTGGTTGTATTTCTCATTAATGAAGGCCTGTTAGGGAAAATTCGGACAACTAAGCGTCATGGTCTTGAAAAAACGACCTGGGAAATGGCGACATGAAATGGTGGTAAACGAGTCAGACGGCAGACCGCTACGATAGCAACGAGGCCAAATACAATGGTAAAATACAGACAGCGACATTGCTTTTTTCTTTCTTTCTTTGAAATGTCAGACTTATTAATTACTAAATTTAATATGGCTTCTCTAAGACGTACAACCACGGACTCTTAAAAGGCATGTAACGGATTTGTTCAAGCTCTTGGCTGATTATATCCGCCAACGTCCCTGGTTACATTAGTAGACAACAGATCACATAACCATCACACGATGGAATGGAAGCTTTTAGGAACACCCCTTCTGCTCATTCTCGCACCCCCAAACCCTCTCAGCCCTTTTCAATGGGCACTTTGTTTTGCGCAAGCATTAAGAACACGCAACAAGCTCTTTCTTGATCGGCCGACGCCTTGACGCACCTGTTGACTACCTTTGTAAAGGGCGCATCCTTGCTGGACGAGGCTTTGTATATTTACTTTTAAAGTTGTATTATTTATGAATTAACGTCCTTTGCGAAAAACATCTTTCTGTCGTCTTCACCAGTATTGTACATTATGTTTGGACAGAATTTAAAGACATTCATGAAATGTTCATATTATAAAACTTCAGTGCCGGGTATTTGAATAGAGATTAGACAGGTTAAAAATTGCAAAAAGTTTTAAGGCTCGGACAAAATATTGTTAATAAACATATTTTGGTTACAAAATATGACGCTTATACACTAGTCCTTTAAAAGGCCATTTCCGAGTTCCAAAATCCTCGCTTTCAAAATGAGGCCAAATGAAGAAACCTTCCCTTAAAATGAGGGGGTTTTTGAAAGAAAATTTATTTCATCATTAAGATGTCTCACTCGAGGCAACTCGGAATTGGCCTAGGTTCCCTTTATTCTCTACTCCAGAAACTGTAGGGAGATTGGGTATAAGCTTTCGGCGCAACGAGTTGTGGGAACGTTTAGGTGGACAGGTGTTACTTATAATTGGTTAATGGTTGCCTTGGATACCATCCACTCAAACGATCCCAGACACCGTTGCACCGAAAGCTTGTAGCCATTCCCCTAATAGTTTCTGGAGTAGGGAATTTTAAAAAACTCGTCTCTAAGGGTTGATTTCCACTGTCGCGAACCTTGCTCAACTTCTCGTTTAAGCTCAGTACTTTTTCATCTTGGCTCTAGTGTTATTATTTATGTGATTAAAATTTACGTGCGTTAACGTGCGTAGCCAAAAACGCGTCAGTGGAAATCAACCTTTAGTTACCAATAGTAAAGGTATAAAATCCTTTGTGTAAAAATCTATACAAAAGTATATCAGGCTTAGACACGAAATAAAACATACTTTCTGTTAAAAAATAACAACTTGTCAGTCCCATGAGTTACTTAAAGTTCGAAAGGGCAGGGCAAAAGACTGGAACACACCCCAAACAAAAACGGGGGAGAACATAATTTCATACATCGTCTGAGTTGTTCATATAGTAATGGGAGTCTTCTAATTAAACCTAGAAAGGCTTCTAAGACTTTCCGCTCAATACTATCACTACTGTTAATGAATGATCTTGGGCAAAAAAAAAAAATGGACGCACAGAGCTCTAATGAATGATCTTACGAATGGCTTAGGTAATGAACGTTCATTACCTTAGCCTAGACTTTTATTTACCTAAGCCTAGATCTCTATTTGAAATGTGATCAAACCAAAGTGTAGCCTTCGTGGAAAGCGCAATAAAAGGGGAGGGGAAAAGAAGAGTCCGAAAGGGAAAATGGAACGCCTCTACCCACCATTTTCCTAACAAAACCGATAATGTCAATTGTCAATACGTGACTAACACAAGTAGGGGGCGCTCTTCTCCATGGGTGAAATTACTTTGTTTATCTGAAACTGTCAAGTCGAGAAGCTTTTTATCAAATGATATCATAATTGAGTAAAACGAACAATTTTACTGTTGTACGTTGCTCAGGAAACACGACAAATGAAATGAACAAAACTTTTTGGTCCTGCCTCATCAAACGGTTAAGTCGCTTCTTGACTGGCGTAGTTTTCATCTTCGAGAGTTTATACAATACAATACTTGATTATTCACGATGTTTAACAATATACAAAAGTGTATAAATTAAAATACAAAATAAGTTTCTCATTGTGGCTTCACCAATCAGAAATTTGAAAGGGAGGTTCTTATAGCAGGTCCCTTTCCTTCTCTCCCCAATCCTCTCTCTCTTTTTGCCTCCTTTCCCTTCCCATTTCAACGCCTACCAGGCAAGGCTAACCAAAGTGAAGCGGCTCGTGTTCATGGAAGTGATTGTGCTGGTTTGAGGCGAGCGTGAAGCTTACGATTGACGCGTAGCAGTAATCACTCAGAACGAAAGGACTGCCGACCAGTATGATTACAAGTCTATACAACTTTCACGTCTTGATTAGCGCGCGACTAGTTCTGGATAGAACCTGCCTACTACTGGTCCTGCCTATCCCTTCTTAAGCTCCGCGCTTAGCTCATGCTTCACCTTTTACGTATCAAAATGGCGCCGGCACGTAAAAGTACGATTCTTACCACTTTGCGGTTTCAAAGAGGATCCCAGGTATATACACATATGTACAGCTGTTATAGCAGTTGAAAGGTAAGCACTTACTAAACATTTTTGTCAAGTTAAATGATTTGATTACTCTGTTCACAGGTTCTTTTTTCGGTAACTCCTTCGTCATCTGCAGAACTGCTCTTATCAAAGGCACCTGCAAATAGAAAAACTAATCATAACGGTTCACTTTCGCGTGTATTCTTGCATGATTTGTTTTAGCCATCGATCAACATGCTTCTTTTTCTGTTGCTTGTTACACGTATTTTGTACTTGAATGTCTTTAACACAGAATTTTTTCAAAAGTCAAACCGGTCGCAAGACTTTTACACTCGAAGGAAATCTTAAATGCTATTTGATTATAATTTCCTCTGTTTTATATTGGCATACTTATCATATATCATGAAGCAGGAGATTGATATCCAGGAGCTTAGCGTCCATATACACTCTCACACGCCCGTGCGTACATGAACAGCTAAAACTCACGGAAACAATGTTTTTTTTATTATTTCCTGAAAAAGCATTTTTTAATCATTAATTCGGGATGACTGATACATTTTTGCACTATATTGGTGTGTTTGTGTTAGTATTTTCCTTTATATCCTCTTATTATTCCATAAAACTGACAGCCTCACTGGCCTTTTCCGCGTAAACGCTTTACCTATTGTAAAACCCAAATGAGTCGACTTAATTGTTTTCTTGTGGGCAAACTAAATTTTACGACTTCCCCGCGGACCTAACAAAATAAGACGCGGTTGATGACAAAAACTACTCCGTTAAACACACGAAAACGAAAAAGGAGTTGTTGCTCGTTGCGCATTTGCCCGAAAAATATCTGCAAAAAATAGAAGTAACGAAATCAAATTTTTCTTCAGCTGCCTGGGCTAGATTAAGTACCCACGGGATCTTCCACTCTGCTTGTTAACTCCTGCCCGCTACTAATTAATGCATGCAACGCTTTTCTTTTGTCAGGTACACCCTCAAGACAACATATGTTTTACGCTTACTTTTCTTCCCTATGAGTTAAAAATTTTAACGCTTTTTAAATTTTCATTTGATTTACTCAATTTAGTTATTGTGTAAACAGGGGCCAGTTTCTCAAAAGTCAAGTCCCGAAAAGTTTTCGGGCCCAAAAAGCTGTTTTCTGTTTGCCGTCTTTGCATTTAAGATCAAAGTTTCATTAATTTTGAAATTCATGCAATGAAGGTATCGGTTACTAAAAAGAGTAATGAAGCAAAACTGACCGATTTGGGAGCTAGGAACTGTGCTACTATTAAACAGATTTTGATTTCAAAATTTGCCTTCGGACGCGAAAATGTTATCGGGCCTTTCGAGAAACGGGCCCCAGAGCTGAGTATGCTGTACCAAATATTCTTCAAAAACGATAATAAAAAGGGTGCAAAACCGTATTGAATTAAGAAACTAACAAAAAATCAAATCCCTTAATACAATTTCCAAAACCATGCAATTTCACAGATTTTGACTAAAAAAGACCTAAAACGGTATCAAATACAAACCTTTAAATGACACATCATCTCCAATCAGCATAAACGGCGCCAATAGCCTTACGTCAGAAAAGTTATTCTCCCTCATCCACTTCATGGCCTGATGAAGCGATTCACTTGCACTTTCACCATGAACAAGGTGCTCGTAAAAACGATTCATGAACTGCATAGTAGCTTCGTCATCTATGGCCCACAGTGCTGCCAGCACGGCGCGTGCACCCGATGCTAGAAATCCTCGAGCGATTCCAACAACTCCCTCAGCTCTTATCTGACCACTTGCACTGTGACAGCAGCTGAGAACAACCAGCTTGGCTGACAGTCGAACTTTTGAAATTTCAGCCATTGTCAATAAGTAGTCTTCTTCGTGAGGAGTACCGCACGAGCTTATAGGAGAAAGAGCGATTTCTCCACGTTCGGCATCACCATGAGCAGCAAAGTGAATGAGACTTACTGACGGCATTTTTTCTAGGACTGTCTGCTTTCTTGCATCATTTCCCACCAAAGCCTTAACACCAACCAGTCGCCCAATCATCTGTGCTTCCTTTCTTGCCCAAGGCAATGGGTCCAATTCCAGAAGTTCTCCTTGGTAGTATACATCACGAACTTCTGGGTCTCCTACGATCAGCGCACCGGTTCCACTATGGTAGTCGGCAGAACTGAGCTGAATCAACTTTAGAGTCGTCAAGGAAGGGACAATACGAATCCTCTGTGTATCTGATAGGTACTTTGTTTCTTCCTTGACTTTGTCATTCGTTAATGCAGCAAAAGGAATTCTGTACAACAAGGGATCAGGAATAATGATGATTTCTGGTTCCTCGAGTAAATCAGCTACGGGAGTAACGATCATATTGTAACCATCACCCAGGGATGGAGTGTCTTTATCCTCTTCCACCAAACGCAAAGTTGCAGTGCCGCCCACCTGAGGTGCATGGCATTTAGCCAGGGAGCTTAGGTATGAAGAGAACAATGATCGATCTTCGCATTGTTCTTGACGCAATTCCCGAGAACCAACAATTTTTTCATTTCCAAACACTTGATCTGCACTTTCTTTCAGTTTCGTTTGTCGAAACACCACGCTTTTGTTTGGCTTAAGAATCCAAAAATACATATTATCACCGAAGCAGGAAACATAAAGACAAGAACTAAGTGCATTTTTGTCCATGATATTCTCAATACCAATCCATGACTGTGGGTTGACTGATACCTCTTTTTCCACAGAGTACTTATTTGAAAGGATGTCTGCAAGTGCTCTGGACCGTCCAAGCTCGGCAACGTAAAGAGCTTCATAATAACTGCCTGTAGCAATCAATAACCTACAAAGAAGAAGGTAAGGGGACACATGCTCATCGAAAAAAGAAATTTTGAATTGATCCTTCATCATTAAAAAATCATGCATTTCTTCGCACTTCTGAATGCTTTCATACAGATTTCGAAGAAGTTCAGTTATGCTTCCTCCTGCCACTAACGCGTTCAGAGCAATGGCAAGGTGGCTGCTAAACTGCATTTCAATGTCCCCTATTTCGTAACTTATCTCAAGTGCTTTATTAACAAATACTTGACTCTTCGCATTAAGCTGAAATTCTCCACAAAGTTTTCCCAGATTTAAGTATGAAGCTCCAACACCACGTTTGTCTCCGATTTCTTCATTGATCGTCAGTGCTTTTTGAAGGTATTCTTCAGCCTTGGTAAATTTACCAACAGATTGGAACACATTTCCTAGATTTCCGTAAGCAGATGCTTCTCCTTTTTTGTCACCGATTTCTTTCCTGATCACTAGTGCTTTTTGAAGGTATTCTTCAGCCTTGAAATATTGACCAACGGATTGGAACACAGTTCCTAGATTTCCGTAAGCTGATGCTTCTCCTTCTTTGTCACCGATTTCTTTCCTGATCACTAGTGCTTTTTTAAGGTATTCTTCGGCCTTGGTATGTTGACCAACCAACTGAAACACAGTTCCTAGATTTCCGTAAGCTGATGCTTCTCCTTCTTTGCCACCGATTTCTTGTTTGATTACTAGTGCTTTCTGAAGGTATCCCTCAGCCTTGGCATATTGACCTACAGATTGGAAAACAGTTCCTAGATTTCCGTAGGCAGATGCTTCTCCTTCTTTGTCACCGATTTCTTTGCTGATCACTAGTGCTTTTTGGAAGTATTCTTCCGCCTTGGAATATTGACCAACAGATAAAAACACATTTCCTAGATTTCCGTAAGCTATTGCTTCTCCTTTTTTGTCCCCGATTTGTTTCCTGATCACTAGTGCTTTCTGAAGGTATTCTTTAGCCTTGGTATATTGACCAACAGATAAAAACACACTTCCTAGATTTCCGTAAGTTGATGCTTCTCCTTTTTTGTCACCGATTTCTTTCCTGATCACTAGTGCTTTCTGAAGGTATTCTTTAGCCTTGGTATATTGACCAACAGATAAAAACACGCTTCCTACATTTCCGTAAACCGATGCTTCTCCTTTTTTGTCACCGATTTCTTGTTTGATCACTAGCGCTTTCTGAAGGTATTCTTCTGCTTTGGTATACTGACCAACAGATTTAAACACAGTTCCTAGATTTCCGTAAGCAGATGCTTCTCCTTTTTTGTCACCGATTTCTTGTTTGATCACTAGTGCTTTTTTAAGGTATTCTTCCGCTTTGGTATATTGACCAACAGATGAAAACACAGTTCCTAGATTTACTAAAAAAGACCTAAAACGGTATCAAATACAAACCTTTAAATGACACATCATCTCCAATCAGCATAAACGGCGCCCATAGCCTTACGTCAGAAAAGTTATTCTCCCTCATCCACTTCATGGCCTGATGAAGCGATTCACTTGCACTTTCACCATGAACAAGGTGCTCGTAAAAACGATTCATGAACTGCATAGTAGCTTCGTCATCTATGGCCCACAGTGCTGCCAGCACGGCGCGTGCACCCGATGCTAGAAATCCTCGAGCGATTCCAACAACTCCCTCAGCTCTTATCTGACCACTTGCACTGTGACAGCAGCTGAGAACAACCAGCTTGGCTGACAGTCGAACTTTTGAAATTTCAGCCATTGTCAATAAGTAGTCTTCTTCGTGAGGAGTACCGCACGAGCTTATAGGAGAAAGAGCGATTTCTCCACGTTCGGCATCACCATGAGCAGCAAAGTGAATGAGACTTACTGACGGCATTTTTTCTAGGACTGTCTGCTTTCTTGCATCATTTCCCACCAAAGCCTTAACACCAACCAGTCGCCCAATCATCTGTGCTTCCTTTCTTGCCCAAGGCAATGGGTCCAATTCCAGAAGTTCTCCTTGGTAGTATACATCACGAACCTCTGGGTCTCCTACGATCAGCGCACCGGTTCCACTATGGTAGTCGGCAGAACTGAGCTGAATCAACTTTAGAGTCGTCAAGGAAGGGACAATACGAATCCTCTGTGTATCTGATAGGTACTTTGTTTCTTCCTTGACTTTGTCATTCGTTAATGCAGCAAAAGGAATTCTGTACAACAAGGGATCAGGAATAATGATGATTTCTGGTTCCTCGAGTAAATCAGCTACGGGAGTAACGATCATATTGTAACCATCACCCAGGGATGGAGTGTCTTTATCCTCTTCCACCAAACGCAAAGTTGCAGTGCCGCCCACCTGAGGTGCATGGCATTTAGCCAGGGAGCTTAGGTATGAAGAGAACAATGATCGATCTTCGCATTGTTCTTGACGCAATTCCCGAGAACCAACAATTTTTTCATTTCCAAACACTTGATCTGCACTTTCTTTCAGTTTCGTTTGTCGAAACACCACGCTTTTGTTTGGCTTAAGAATCCAAAAATACATATTATCACCGAAGCAGGAAACATAAAGACAAGAACTAAGTGCATTTTTGTCCATGATATTCTCAATACCAATCCATGACTGTGGGTTGACTGATACCTCTTTTTCCACAGAGTACTTATTTGAAAGGATGTCTGCAAGTGCTCTGGACCGTCCAAGCTCGGCAACGTAAAGAGCTTCATAATAACTGCCTGTAGCAATCAATAACCTACAAAGAAGAAGGTAAGGGGACACATGCTCATCGAAAAAAGAAATTTTGAATTGATCCTTCATCATTAAAAAATCATGCATTTCTTCGCACTTCTGAATGCTTTCATACAGATTTCGAAGAAGTTCAGTTATGCTTCCTCCTGCCACTAACGCGTTCAGAGCAATGGCAAGGTGGCTGCTAAACTGCATTTCAATGTCCCCTATTTCGTAACTTATCTCAAGTGCTTTATTAACAAATACTTGACTCTTCGCATTAAGCTGAAATTCTCCACAAAGTTTTCCCAGATTTAAGTATGAAGCTCCAACACCACGTTTGTCTCCGATTTCTTCATTGATCGTCAGTGCTTTTTGAAGGTATTCTTCAGCCTTGGTAAATTTACCAACAGATTGGAACACATTTCCTAGATTTCCGTAAGCAGATGCTTCTCCTTTTTTGTCACCGATTTCTTTCCTGATCACTAGTGCTTTTTGAAGGTATTCTTCAGCCTTGAAATATTGACCAACGGATTGGAACACAGTTCCTAGATTTCCGTAAGCTGATGCTTCTCCTTCTTTGTCACCGATTTCTTTCCTGATCACTAGTGCTTTTTTAAGGTATTCTTCGGCCTTGGTATGTTGACCAACCAACTGAAACACAGTTCCTAGATTTCCGTAAGCTGATGCTTCTCCTTCTTTGCCACCGATTTCTTGTTTGATTACTAGTGCTTTCTGAAGGTATCCCTCAGCCTTGGCATATTGACCTACAGATTGGAAAACAGTTCCTAGATTTCCGTAGGCAGATGCTTCTCCTTCTTTGTCACCGATTTCTTTGCTGATCACTAGTGCTTTTTGGAAGTATTCTTCCGCCTTGGAATATTGACCAACAGATAAAAACACATTTCCTAGATTTCCGTAAGCTATTGCTTCTCCTTTTTTGTCCCCGATTTGTTTCCTGATCACTAGTGCTTTCTGAAGGTATTCTTTAGCCTTGGTATATTGACCAACAGATAAAAACACACTTCCTAGATTTCCGTAAGTTGATGCTTCTCCTTTTTTGTCACCGATTTCTTTCCTGATCACTAGTGCTTTCTGAAGGTATTCTTTAGCCTTGGTATATTGACCAACAGATAAAAACACGCTTCCTACATTTCCGTAAACCGATGCTTCTCCTTTTTTGTCACCGATTTCTTGTTTGATCACTAGCGCTTTCTGAAGGTATTCTTCTGCTTTGGTATACTGACCAACAGATTTAAACACAGTTCCTAGATTTCCGTAAGCAGATGCTTCTCCTTTTTTGTCACCGATTTCTTGTTTGATCACTAGTGCTTTTTTAAGGTATTCTTCCGCTTTGGTATATTGACCAACAGATGAAAACACAGTTCCTAGATTTCCGTAATCTGATGCTTCTCCTTCTTTGTCACCGATCTCTTTCCTGATTAAGAGTGCTTTCTGAAGGTATTCTGCAGCTTTGGTATATTGACCAACAGATTTAAACACAGTTCCTAGATTTCCGAAAGCAGATGCTTCTCCTTTTTTGGCACCGATTTCTTGCTTGATCACTAGTGCTTTTTTAAGGTATTCTTCCGCTTTGGTATATTGACCAACAGATAAAAAGACAGTTCCTAGATTTCCGTAATCTGATGCTTCTCCTTTTTTGTCACCGATTTCTTTGCTGATCACGAGTGCTTTTTGAAGGTATTCTTCTGCCTTGGTATATTGACCAACAGATAAAAACACACTTCCTAGATTTCCGTAAGCAGATGCTTCTCCTTTTTTGTCACCGATTTCTTTCCTGATCACGAGTGCTTTTTGAAGGTATTCTTCAGCCTTGGAATATTGACCAACAGATGAAAACACAGTTCCTAGATTTCCGTAATCTGACGCTTCTCCTTTTTTGTCACCGATCTCTTTCCTGATCACTAGTGCTTTTTGAAAGTATTCTCCTGCTTTGGTGTATTGACCAACAGATGAAAACACAGTTCCTAGATTTCCGTAAGCAGATGCTTCTCCTTTTTTGTCACCGATTTCTTTCCTGATCACTAGTGCTTTTTGAAGGTATTCTTCAGCCTTGGAATATTGACCAACAGATAAAAACACAGTTCCTAGATTTCCGTAATCTGATGCTTCTCCTTTTTTGTCACCGATTTCTTTCCTGATCACTAGTGCTTTTTGAAGGTATTCTTCTGCTTTGGTGTATTGACCAACAGATGAAAACACAGTTCCTAGATTTCCGTAATCGAATGCTTCTCCTTTTTTGTCACCGATTTCTTTCCTGATCACTAGTGCTTTTTGAAGGTATTCTTCAGCCTTGGAATATTGACCAACAGATAAAAACACAGTTCCTAGATTTCCGTAATCTGACGCTTCTCCTTCTTTGTGACCGATTTCTTTCCTGATCACTAGTGCTTTCTGAAGGTATTCTTTAGCTTTGGTATATTGACCAACAGATTGGAACACAGTTCCTAGATTTCCGTAAGCAGATGCTTCTCCTTCTTTGTCACCGATTTCTTTCCTGATCACTAGTGCTTTTTGAAGGTATTCTTCTGCTTTGGTATATTGACCAAGAGAAAGAAACACAGTTCCTAGGTTTCCGTAACATGCTCCCACTCCGCGATTGTTTCCAGTCTCAATCATGATGCTGTGCGCCTTCTCGTAAAACTGTTTTGCTTCTTCGTATTTGCTTCTTTGATAATAAATGTTCGCTAGTTGAATTAATATTATCCCTTCTTCTTCTTTTCTGCCACTATTGTGTAGTGCCACGTGAAGTTTTTTACCACATTCTATCGCACGGGTGTGATCGTACAGAAGAGTATAGCCATCAAAGAGTTTATGGTATACATCGATAACAAGGGGTGTGGTAAGTTCTTTGATTGTATATAGCGCTTTGACGTTAAGGAGCACCAAACATTCGTTAAAGAAGTCTACTGCTTTTTTAATACGTCCAGTGTTCCAAAGGAAAGTTGCAACCACTGCACCAATATGAATGGCCTGTACAATCTCCCAGATGTTGTCCATGACGCTTTTTTCTTACCCTTGAGAAAAAAATATATATTTTTAGAGTAAGAAAGTGGAAACAAGATTCTTAACGTCTTATTAACTCAAGATTTACTGAGGTAGGTCACGTTATAAGTGTTGGACAATCATTTCTGTGGGCACAAGCTCTGAAAATCGGCGAACCCAGGTTCTCCTATCCTCCTGACTGCCTGACTCATTCCCCACGCTTTTTGATATCCTTACTTACCGTTTACGATATAAAACACTTCCTAAACTCTTTAAATGATAAATATATGAATTCCATATATTGGAACTTCGGAATGAAGAAATTAAATGTAGAGATTCCACTGTTCCAAACTGTGAAATTCATTTATTGTATTAACACCAATGAAATACCAGGTGAGCTTTCGCGCGAAAACATGGTATCTTGGGTATCTGTAAAATCCGGGAAACTCCCAGAACCGCAGCCCCCTCCCCCCCCCCCCCGCCCCCCCCCCCCCCCCCACCCCCCGACAAAGGAAACAGAATTAGAAATCAAAATACAAAACACCCTCTATTCGCGATTCTAACAGAGAGAAAGAGTAGGAGTAAGAATGTAAGTCAGATAACGTAGAAAAAAGACATCTCA